ATTGAGCAAAATAATCTAATCTATCAAATTCAGTGTAAAAACTATGAGGTCAAGTACATAGGTAAAACCAGCCGGTTGAGGTAAGTTTAACAGAACATTGGAATTTGGCCAAACAGAGAATGATAGATCAGTAATCTGTAAAAAAAACTCAGCTATTGAACAACCACACAATAAGGTGAGATAAAGCCACGGTACTTAAGTCTAGCATAATTAGGTGGAGAGAGAGTGACTTATTACTGAATCTTCTTTTATCGAATCACACGCAACATCTGTAACAGAAGTGACTCAACACATATACCTCAAATATGGAAAGTCTTACTACTAACAGAAACAAAGAATATGAGGTGACAGGACTACAAAATCAGATGTAGAAAGTAATATGATTAAACTGACATGATTACGATCAATAATTTATGCTCTGAAGGTCATCAAGTAAACAATATCATTGTGTGTTATAAACAAAACAAACAAAGCTAATATGGAATTAAATTCTACTACAGTGCCCAAATTTTACACTTTTATTGAAGACCAAAGTATTTTCGATAACTGGTTGAAGTGGGAAAAAATCATAGTGAACCCGGAATGGTACCTTGACTAACTCCACTGGTCACATATTTCCATTCAGACAATATGTATTTCTAACCAGCCTTCTATGGGCAAATTTTAAACACATCTTGGAAACCTACTTGAAGCAATGACGCCTAACCTCAAAATTCGGCAGCAAAAACTGATGACATGATTAAGTGATCGAAAAAAGACTCCATCAGATACTTTTCCGTATGGATTTTTCGAGGCGAACGACTGACTTATGCACGGAAAAAACAACTTCTAAAAGGCCTGAAAACCTCGCTAATAGTTATCGCCATCTCTGCATTAAATCCCTTGTTTCATAATTACCAGGAAAACAACCTTAAAACTACAGGATTTATTAAAAATCTGATGACAGTATTAGAACGAATCTATCTCGGCAGGTAAATGGCATGTAACAAGCACCTGGTATCGACAAACAAATATAAATTATTATACTGCTGAAGCTGAAATATGAATAGTTCCAGGTTTTTTGTGAATATGATGAGAGTAGGTTGTTACTCCAACACACCTCAGTCAATTCGTGAAACCATTTTGAAGTAAACCATTAATAGTACAAAAGAACAATGATCGTGGCTTCAACTTTTTTCACATTTTTCATAAGATGGTGAGTTCAATTTCCACAGGGCGAAGACAGTCCACATCACGCAACTATTTACTGCACTTTGAATTGCGTTACAGTTTCTATTCCTTAAGACGGATACATTTTTAGGGAAGATCCCAATTCAATTTGATGTCTAAAATACTGGTTAGCTCACCAATGTTTGTAACAACGATCAATTACTCTGTAAGAAAGAGGAGGTTGAAATTGTCTCTACATTAACTGCTTTACGGCATTATATACAGAGATTTCTACAGCAACCTAATTCAGTCTCCTATGGGTTAGACTACATTATATAAAGTGTTATCGAGAAACACTCGAACGTAGTCATCATTACTAACCACTGTTACCTGGAAGATACAGGACAGCTAATTCATACCAGATCGAGATTCCTCAGTACTGCACTTTTCATACTCATGCGAGGTAGAATCCAGTAACTTGGTGTCTGATAGAAAGAAATTCGCCAAACTGGTATTGAGTTGAAACCGACTGGTTGGAGCTAACAACGACTGCATTCCAACACAAGTTCGAGCTAAAAAAATATTCTTTTTATACTTCTAAATAATGCTGAATCGGACCTTTGATTGTCTAATATTACCACTTCCATAGATGAAAGAATCAGTGTTCAGATGATAGCTGTTTCTTTTATAATTAAGTAGGTGTGGTTGAAACTAATTTTTTATAGCGAATAGTGTTAAGTGTATCATATCACAGTGATTCAGCTTTTTTCGTGATCTGTAAACTGAGCAACCAAACGCCTGCTGAATTTTAAGGAATATTACTTGCTACTGTACTATAACTGATAAGTGTTGATGATTTCATATCCCAGTTAACTTCTCTTTAAACATGAGTAAAATATTTTCAGCAACTTTTTGTATGAAGTTAGTACAATTAGACTTCCTAGGTCAACAGCGAAATGTTTGCAGCTGAATATTATTGTTCCTGGAAGAATATACAGCTACCTCACTCATCTTTACTTCCAAATTTTTCGGTCTTGAAAATCTTTCCGACCTTATAATTACTTCAAAATATCTCCCAACTTTCATTCTGAATTACCGATAGTTTTGTTGTTCACGATGAATGTATTTCGTTTATTTTTGTATCGGTCAGAATACCCTAAGTTGTTTGTCATTTTTCGGTAATGTATGGAATTTTTCTGTCGAACTAGATATAAAAGTGGCTATTTCTTGCAATAAGACCAATTCACTAACATTCTGTTATACGATCAACTGCTGGATGGTTACTTAATCAGTAGCTTAGCCGTCTTATCAAAGTCTTTCTTTCGATTCTAAGTTTCACTAAATTGAATCATCAGAAAGTCAACTGGTTTTAATGTGACACACGTCATTATACCTCAGATTGGTTTCACAATAGGGGGACTGGAAATGTCTTGGAAACTAATTTAGTAGATCAACGTACAGAGAAGCAGCTGTGCATAAGTTCTAAATCAGTGAGCTTTTCACCGTAGCAAAAGTGAAAGCAGTGTTATTTGAGTCAGTTAAGTTTAGGTTTCTGAACTCCTCAATAAACAGTAATGTGTTAAAATATTAATTCTTAGAATCGATAGTAAGATACCTGTTTTCGAAAATGGCATTTTTCTATATGCAACTATTCTGATTTTCTTCTCGGATTGAAAAAAGCTTTTGATGTTTGTATTGACAAAAAAAGAAGATGAATACTTGCCTATTTTCACTCTTGCATCGTTGAGAAAATCAGCATGAGTAGTCTTATCACTTATGCACAAAAAATGACTATCGCATATCTCAGGCTCTTCGATGCGGAACAGGTTTTTTAGGGTGTTATCATCACAAAACAGTAAATAATGCAGCTCATAGTAGCCAATCTTTACGTAGTAACAACAGATGTGTTCTTAGCTTCTAAAGGCTCATAGCGTTTACAGGTTTTCATGTCAGTATGGTCTGTGGTAAGTGAAACTATAGTTCGTTTTATTTGAAATACGTTATGAGGCCGAAGCATAGACACTTTAAAGAGATTTCAGCTATATTGGGTTTCAGACTGCCTAATAAATGCTGCAAAAACAGTAATAAAGAACTTTGGAACAGTCGGGCAAATGCTTCGACGAGTTTATCTATGTCAGCGTCCTCATAACCCAGGCACCAGATTTGGCTAAATGCTTTTACGTCACATTCGCAGCCACATCCGATGTAAAGAGCTACTTGTCTATTTCATCATTAGAAGTATTACTCGTAACTGCACTCTTACTAAAAGTTGGTTAAATGGCTTTCTGATACTGAGATAAACCTGATGGCCTCCTGCTTCAGCTCGTTCTATGAGAACTTCATAATTGAAGCAATAAAAGTTGTAGGACTTAGTTCTCTTTTTTTATTAAGTAGAATAGTGCTAAAGAGATTAACCTTGACACTTTAGGAAGTGGTTTTGTCATCCATGAAATAATTTTCAAGTCTAGCCAGTCACATTTGTATCTCCAGGCTTGAAGACAAGAACTTTCAAAGAAAAGCCATCGAGAGATCATGGCACGTTTGCAAATCTGAAAATGAGAAAAGTTAAAATGAAATAAAATCTGCAAAATGGTGATGCAAAAAAAATGCTTAGAAATCAAAACATTTTCACCTTAAGTTTAATATACAAATCTGTCGCGATCACGAAGAAAGTATCCAGAGGATTTTTGATCTCACTGGCTTTATTACTCCATTTATCCTGTTTGCGCAACAACAACAACGGTTCCAGATAACTTCTAGCGTAAACATGAACATATAAACGGATATGATCTCATCTTGATTAAATAAGCCCTAAATCTCAAAAAACCGACAGTCAGAAATCAATATCACCTGCGAAAAAGATGAGGAAGTTAGAATGTATGTCACTCCAAACAACGCATTACAACGTCGCACACTTGGCTTGAATGATTAGCTGAAAAACTGATCTGTTGACTTAGACCATTATTTGAAAGTTTGAAGTTTTCAGTGACCAATCAAGAGGATTTAGAACATGCTATCACTCTTACCTGCATAGCAGTGTGAAGTTATTATATTACCTACTGAGGAAGAGGTCTTACTGTAAAAATTCCTGATCACAACTATGAAGTGAAATCTTATGGAGAATTTCATTTGAGTATATTTATGAAATGATGTACATGAAGAAAGGAATTTCGAAGACCATAGTAATCCAACTTTTGTGTATTGCAATAAGCTGTTGTCTACAGCAAATAAAAAAGATATATGTTAAAGTTTCTAAGACGATTATATGATGATATCATCATATAAGCACTAATTTACTCAAACGAAAGGTGGGACTTAAACATTGAATTCTCTTAAACTGAACATAAACCTTGAAAACGATCTTTATTCTGCACTTTAGAATGAAATCTAATTCATATATCTTTTCATTCAAAATAAACTTCGCTACGAAACAACAAGTCGATTCTCATTATTAGACCTTGAAAATCGTATGCAAACGTCAGGTAACTTTTTTAAAAACACAATGCTAAAATAATTAGTGATAAAATAATACAGTCATACGACTGAACACTGAATGGTCGGTACGAATCCAAGTAGGTTATCTCATAAATCTGTGGGAAAAAAACCTGCAGAATTGCGATACAAAAGATACTTTAAAATGCTACGAGTAAAGTTAGACACAGATATTTTTTCATCATATCACCTTGAAATTTACACTTCGATCTCGAAAACAATGAGGTTGGTAGAGAGCATAAGCGGTTTCAACACTGAAAAAATTACTTCGATTACATCACTATTATGAACATGAATATATAAATATATATATAGGTGATTCAAGAATAATCCACTATAATCTGTAAACACTTTGACAGTCATATTGGGTAAGCGTGGTGTTGGGTTATGTTATGTGAATAATTATTATTTTACTAGGTATCAGTGAACTAACATTTGCTAAGGATATCACTGTAAGTGCAGTTCTTATTCGAATTGTGTTATTTCCACTTATTGACATTTACTCTGTGATCACTCCATTACATTTTCATAAGTGTAACTAACCGTTAAACAACATATGATCTATCTACCATGCCGAGCGTTGATTCGAATAAATATCTGACTGGCATATGTGCAGAAAAGTGTGAGTTACCAAATTCAACAGCTTTTCTTATCAATGAAATGACTCATATTTGGAATCCATATCGAATATGAGATAAAGTATGTAGTACTACAACTAACACTCCTGAATCACAGAGTGGTAAAATGACATCGTCGATTATATATATTGCGTAGTCTTTTTAAAACGTCACAGTGTACACTACTGGCGTTTTTATTCTCTTGCACTAAATTGTCATAGTTTTCTATCTATTTTAATGTCACACATAAAGTACTGCTTTAATGATGGTTACGCTGTACATTGTCTCCATCTAGAAGTAATCACACACTGCATATTATACCTTTCCTTATCCACATGCTAATACAGTTGTTTATGTGTTCATCTATACGCGTCTATATCACTTTTATACACGTTCAATATAGATCCTTTAATGGGTTTGTTTAGATTGTCATTAAAAGTGAATTTTGAAACTGTTTTCTAAACTGAAGGTGTTGATACTGTGAGTATAACAGGAGAGTAACTCAAGAGCCAACCATCCATGTTTTATGAACCAAGACTTACCTCCTTATTAAGCAGCTTTTAATCTATTTTCAGCAATCAGAATCAAATATGAAAGAAGAATATTCTGTACAATAACTTCTCATCACATTCTACAGTCATAAAACCAAGTTGTTTAGCACACTGATAGCCAGATAGGTTTACTACAAAAACATTTACTTCACAGCAAAGTTATAATTTTATAAAATCATGCTACAAATTTATTCTGTCAGATTGTGTTCAATGAAATTCGTTTGTAATCTTGGCCATCAAATTGAAACGATGCTAAGAAGTTGACAAGGTTATGTGACTGAAATATTTCAATTATTTCAACACGTTGAAATATACTTTACAAGTAACAGTGGAATGTAGAACAAATGTATCATCCTATTAAGTACTCGTCGGTTGGATGTAATTTCATCCCAATGAGCGATGGTGTTACCACTGAGATTCGAATTCGGTGTCTACCACTTCAAATGCCAAAGCACTATACACTAGATGAAGGTCAGGCAACTACCTCCGGTATGGGAACAGGAAACTACAAGTATCAGTGAGCAAATAATAAAAACTGATACACATCGGACAGAGGCTGATAATCGTACCTCAGATTCCGTTAAATAGAGTAATGAAATTTCGCAATAACGTTTTCATCTTGGTAACCACTTAGTGACTTAAACCAGTTTGTTTCCGAACAGACTTGCTGGAACCATTTTTTCTGACTTGTCCTGTTTTACCAGCCGAAAAACAATTGTGTTACTGAATAAAAGAATAATGAATCACTGTGATCTAAAACATGATTATGAATGCTGTCTGTGGGGAAGGTTTCAATAAAGACCCACACAACATTTATGGTAAGAGTCCAAACGATAACAAGAATTCCACTGAAAACATTTTACGGTAGAGTGAGAAGTTTTAATAACAAAACTGAGAAAGCTTATTAATTAACTTTCAGTGTAAGAGATTTACATTACTTGAAACTAATGACATAATATACTTTTACGCTAGTACCTTACATCACTATCTAATTAAAAGACATTTATATGGGAGTAAAACTTGAGCATTGTAGTAGGTCGTAATTTCATTTTAGTCAGTTCATTTTAAAAGTCACTCGGTGAGGCAGTATCTTTTACTGGGTAACGTTCCGGACACAATCTACTGTCCAAATTCACACCAGGTCAATCCATAACTCTGAGAAGATTCGTTTATCAATCTTTCCTTCCAACCAAATGAAGTAGTTTTTAATACTGTCATTGTATCCCACCCGTACTGTGACTGTGTATAGTTGCATAATAACTCTGAGTGTTAGCAATTGTTATCGCACACAAAAAACACTTATCCATTGTCGACGAGTGACAGTTGAACGCTTTTGCCAATCAACTGACTCAGTGTATCGTAAATGATTATAAATCAGGTATCAGGACAACGTATCAGTGAAACATATTACTCGGTGAAATTATTTTGCTCACTATTAACAGTTACTGAAAAACATTAAGTTGAAGACCTGTATAAAAAATCACTGTCTTCATACTTTCACAAATGAATGTTCAAAATTCTCTCCAAAAATTTTATTATTTATGAATTTTAGTCTACAAAAAACATCGTATGCGCTAGTGGATATCATAAGACCACCACAAATTCGAGCTTATTTTCACTTTAGTGAACCTATAAATGATTATGAAGCATAATTCCATCTTATGTAACTAACGTCCTGATAGTTCTGTTGTGTTGTGAGTCTGGGTACTCACAGTCACGGCTTTCGATGTCAGTCTACGCATAACCTTTGTGTAGCTTATCAAAAAAGTAGGCTAGGTCGATCATTCACAAACACTTCATTTTATCTAACTGTCCTACATACCAAGATGTCTTCTATATTTAAGTTACTACAGCTAACTTTGAACTCATCTTTCCTTCTGTATAAATTCCAAGGGTACAGATGAATTTCCATTGTCTATTGCATCCTTGACTATAGTGCAAATGTGAGCAAATATGTCGTTGATCACAATATTTTTCCATGGTAATTGAATTTGAATATCTTATCGCCTTGGCTAAAATACTGCGAAAATTCTGTTTACGTTTCTTAGATACCTACTACGGAATTGACCTCACCGAGATGTCATCTACGTAAGACGTGTCTTTTTTCATTTGTTTAATAATTTGCGTTTTGAAAACTGTTAGTTAAGAATGAGATTATATTTGAAAATGGTTTTAGTTCTATACGAAAATTTGATATTCACTGAACTTAACAGAGCACCGAAGAACTGTTTCATTCAGTTTCAGGACTACTCAAAGACTAGAGAAATAGGTCTTGATCAGTCAAATTTGTGAAGGAACTGGTGATTTATTGGTTAACTATCAGACTATTAGGGTTTTCTAGCACCTGCTTATTATTCTGACTTGTTTCAGTTCATATCTGTTTTCACCACTGACGTGGTTGGTAACACAACCAACTTCAAAATGTAGCTTGTATGATGAGATCTGGCTGAAGTTAAAATGTCTACCGAATCTACCAACCAGAATACACTTATATACAATTCAGAACAATAAGACTTCGATTACAGGATTTTATCACGGTGAAATGGTGGTCAAACTGAATTACCTAACACTAGTTTTCCTCACTAATGAAAACAAGTCAAAGAAAAAACTGAAAATGAAATTAAAACTTGTAAGTTACAAGCTTACTAATAAATATCTCCATGGTCTCACTAGTTTTTCAATGCTTGCTAGTTTGTGGTAAAAGTTGATGTGAGTAGAACTTTGTAATTTCACCAAAAAATCTGTGCAGATTCGAAGCATCATTCATATCTAATGAATAAGGGTGATGATTATGTGGAACTGGATCCTGATAACACTGCTTGTGGATAGCAGTAAATAACGTTATCCTATGATGTATTAATCTTGGTAATAAAGATTAATGAATATTAACTGTCACCACTGCTATCTGGATCTAACATATCTTCCTAGAGGATTCGGAACCGATTTTGAGTAGTATAGAATATACATAATATCTGACGGTACACAACCAAACAAACAATTATCCATTTTTTGTTCGTCTAAATTGGTTCTTAAAATCATTATAGTCTGTGTTGTTAAATATTTCATATGTCAACTTGTTTATGTTGCATTTTTTAATTGCCTTCGTAATCTTAACCAACATTTCAGTATGTGGAGTATGCTTAAAAACTGTAAATGCATCAAAATGGATCTTGGACAATGAACCATTTGTTCCATTGGCTCTTGATTTAATTTCTCCAGTATGCTATATCCTGCCGAAAACTAGCTGGAGACAAAAGGTAGGTGTGAATTATGTTGTAAAATAGTAATTTTATAAAAATAATACCGGTGAAAAGCAGTTATTTGATGTTGACTTCACAAGTATGACAGTAGCGCACCACAAGCCTATATAAGGAAGTTGAGATATAAGTTTTGAACTGTTAAGATAAATTTCCCTCCAAAATAAAGATTAGGTGCCTCAGGATGTAGTTTTATTATTGTCATAGAATTTTATATTCCCATGGTTAAAAATATACAGTTTTCATAAGAAAATCACTTATCAAAACAAACGGGTAGATGAAAAGGAATGTATTTATCTTTTTCAGTATGGTCGAGACCGTACAATTTTGCGAAGGATCCCAGCTACAGGTTCTGAGTACTCCGAAAGCACAAACCAAAGAGTTAACGGTATTTTAGCACTGATCAAAACAGTATTGATAAACTTCACAAACAAGTGACATACCTTGGTATGGCTACATTTACAGCCAAAATACCTAAGTTCCCATTAGTTCCTAACCCTCATCCCTCAACTTATCATTCGAAAATATCTACAATATGTACAAGTAAAAAGTGATAAATTGGTTGAAGACATCTTTAGTGCTCAGTAGTTCATGGACAGACATTCAGTACAATGGAAAAACACCCTAGAAATTATTGAAGTCTCTCACTCCGTCTCTCTGTCTAAGCACTTGTTCGAGAAAACTAAGTAACCAGAACTAAGGACTTCGTTTAAGAGTAACTCAAGAAGAAGTGGGTTATTTTCACTCATACATATCTAGTTAATCTACCTAAGCAGTCAATATATAGTGAGAAGCATACAAGTAGAACAAGTAGTTTAATGTTATTTTTATTACTTTTCATAATTTATTCTTCATGCTGTCTGATATGGATTATTTCTATTGTCATCAGTGTCATAGACTTGTGAATAGTGAATTGATGACAACGATTCACGATTACGTTAGTAAAATGGATGTCGTTTCTTTCTGCACGGTAAGTGAACATTCATTCTTGCTTTTCTTAGTATGGTATGAATGTGAACCTTCAATTTTCTATCTCATGTTACACAAATCAATATTTGTCACGTATTAGTTGCATTGCAATCGGCTTCTGAGGAAGTTTGTAGTTGGCGGACTACTGTTTTTACTTGAGTGGTTCGGTGTTCATTTTTTTCAAATGATTGACTCACTGAACATGGTGGTTGTTAGACAGTTGATAACGGTAGATTTCAAATGTTATTGAAATGAGAATATTTTGAGATGATTTTCATATCTGTTGACTGTAGACAGTAGATATATGCTATAAGCCAGTAATATACGAAGTTACGTTCATCTTGCTTTCATTGAGTGGAAAGAACTACGGGATTTCACCTTGTCCAAAACATAAGGGAAAACCAAGTAACTTTACCAAATACTTCACTTCTTAGGGATTATTTACACTTCGTAATTAAGTATAACGTCAATGTTTTAGTTTTCGATGAAATATTTTGAGTATAAAGGGACATGACAGGAAGCACTAGAATGTATTACTTGCTGAAGAATGTTACTAAAATGTCAGTTAGCCTTGCTTCTACGTTTCTGTGTCGCATTTATGATTTTATTGAATACTGACAACTACCGTAGATGTTTCTTATGAAGATGTGAATATTGACTAAGACAGAAAATTTATAGTACTTGCCATTGGAAAGTTCTAAAAAAGTGAAAAATGAATATCTCTCAATCACTCGGAAATTACGTCAGTTTTTCAGAATGTTTGAATAGCTATTAGAAAATTGGTTTAACTTTTTCATTGCTTTCAGAATAAAGGATTTTGTAACAAACCAGTAACTTCTTCATTACCCGATGGATTCGGTTCGTGTAAGTAGTCAGTGTATTTCTTGGAATTAATTATAATAATCCAACTAATTACAAGTATATTTATTTATACTTAGGAAAATATTTTGACAAGGATAAACAGAAGTCACTGTTGATATACTGTCTAAAATTCTACTTAATAATTAGTACATTTTTAGTCTGATTACTTCTGAAATAGTTAGCTCTCATAACTAACCAACTTCAGTGTAAGGTCTTTTGAGTTCCCATATAGTAAAAGTTTTCACAAAGTTTATTGTGGTTTTTATATTTATTGGAGAAGGGTGAAAAGATGTAGCGATAAAAATATTCTATGGGATCACTCCCTTTATGCTAACGTGATAGACTAGCATCTAGACAATATGACTTGAGTTTGGCTTGTTAGCGTAAAACTACCTATGGATACTGAAATAGATGTCAAGCGGCAGCTCACGTAGTTGTTCATATTTGACACAAACTAGATAGATTTCAGTTCATACACATATGTCATGCCAGTTATAAAGTGTTTCCAAACAACTCACAGAGGAAATAGAACAATTTAACCGGTAAATAACAAGTTTGGATATCACAAAGAGACTGGTAGAGATCAAGGAAAAACTCCCAATAACCAGGTTTCCAACCACCAACCAAATTTTCTGAATTAATATTCAACGAATTTATCCTTGATAGAAATTTCGCAAAAATGGAGTGCATATCAGCCGAACTAGTCAGAAGACTTAATTGCTGGTTTTCCATCTGAAGTTATACCAATGCTGTTTTAAGTACTCTTTTATTCTTCATCATAAAATATTTTATAACAGCCACAATTGATAACTCAATAAGCTATCCTCCTTAGTAACATTCTGAAAGAACTTACCTCTTATGTATGAGCATTAGTAAGAATACCAATGTTCACAGTGATGCAAATGAACCATGCCAAAGATTCCTGAGCAAGAAATATCTGTGTTCTTAACTTCATCTCCAGACATTCCAAAGTATCATCAGAGATACAGATAATTCATTAACCAGGACCTTTTAAGCTTTCGAAATCAATTTTACAAATATTGGTTTTGTCCTGTCATGTTTTTGTCTATGGTAAGTATTTCATAGTATTACAAACTGAGAAAAAACATTTCATTTATTCTGAGACCTTACAGAGCAAGTCTACTGGCTTTCAGTAAGTCTCAGAAAACTGTAGAAAACTTCTGATCATCTACTGATGAACATATATGGTATCGAATGCAAACCTGTTGCGATTCTGGCTTTATACTGAACATATTATTCTAAAATAACTCGGTTTATTTCAGAAGAAGTGAATTAAACCTGGTCAAAACAATTTACACTGAAAACTTTCTTAGTCACAATGAATCAGTAAATTACGAGTAAACAGAGTTACTTCTATGAATGAATCGGCTTTTCATCACCGATTGCTGAGCATTCTAAAACTAATCGTATGAAATCAGAACCTTCATTATATTCTTTGCGTTCTTTTCCCAGGTTTCACTGAGTACATAGACTATGCCCTGTCTCTGGTAACCGCTCCAGAATACACTGAAACAATGATACATAATGTTTGCTTCAACTTTGCAGCTGACGCCGCTAAAGTTAGTGTAATTTCTGTTCTGTTTGAAACTAGTAACAAAAATATTACCTTTCTCAAATGATGATAATGTGTTAGGAGCTGTTTGAACTTTCAACTTCATCCACAGGCTTATATATGTAAAAAAGTGTCAGATGCTATATTTAATAATCATTTTTATTCCTCTATCACCGTATGTTTAAATTTTCACTGAAAAAACTGTCTGAATAACCAGTAAAATGAAGTATGATCCGCTGTCTATACTCAATGCAGGCAGTAAAGCCTTGTGATTGAAATTCAGCTGGAAAAAATCTCCATGTTAGCAATTCAGAAGTGACTCCCCGACCTCATGCTTGTCTAAAACATTAGCTGATATCTTCTTAAATAAATAAATGAAGAGACTATGAAGACGTTCAATAATGAAATTTGTATCCTTTGACCAATATCACTGTATAATCGACGGAGTAATACCCTTTCGTCAGAGTGATATTATATCACTATATATTTAATGAACATTTCCTTGTTTGAACTTCATTTCGCAACTCTGTAACGATGATTTATTCTGTTATTTTATTTACTTTATATCATCTGACTTAAACGTGACAAATATGGTAACTTACAGAAATGTGCGGTATTGTAGAACCGAAGACTGAAAATGTGATTTAGGCATTAACTAAAAAAGTTGGTCCTCATGTATTCCTCAAATATTCTTGATGGAACAACTTGCAGAAGATCTAGAAACCTGAAACGTCATACTCAGTTCAGTAGCTAAATATATTGTTCTCATTTCAGTATGCATAATGAGTGTCCACAGTGTATGCATAAATGATGGAGTTCTCTTATAATTCAGCACTAGATAGTTAACTGTTTGCTGGACAAAATCTAAAATTAGTATTCTATTCTTAATGGTAACTGTTTTGTTACTAGCCTTCATTTCTGTGAAGCGGCTCTTGTTCTGTTTTCACTAAGTTGAACTGACCATATGTTATCAAGTCTAAGAGAACACTTTAATTAACCATTTTTTAGTGTACGGATACACTGAAAACAGCGGTGGAATACCTGCTACAATCAACTGACTAAGTGAGTGAATATTTTCCAGTCATCTATCATTATTGAAACTTTGAAAGTGCATATTATACAGTCACACTGTTGGAGAAGTTATCTAAGGCGTTGTATCTTTTCTTTTTTCGTTTCAGATATACGAAGAGAATTCATATTCCATGTAACAGAAGAGAGTATCAATTTTAATAAATTAGTTTTAAAATATACCACCTCTTCTCCAATTCGCTTTAGTTTCATTCAACAGTACTGTGAATACTATATGGGATACAGAATATTAGGGTTTACAATAGCTCTTTCTACAAGACTTAGCTTCATTTATGTGTGCTACTTAGTGAACTGCTTCGTTCTTCATTTATCAACATCAATACTTTTGATATTCAAATGTATACACCTGGCAGTCGATACTTCAGCAGAATCAACAGCTAAATGTAACAGTAACTTTCCGTAAACATTTTACGTTATCTTATATTCGATAAAATCAACTGAGTAGTTCAACTATACTTCACGGTGGCCCTCGAGAGATTCCTGACAGGCTTTCACTGATATTCAATTCTGTGTTAGAGTTGACCGAAGTTTCTCAGACCCAGACTAGTGAGGAGTTTTGTTGGTCACCGCGTTTTTAGTTATCCTAACAGGTACGTTTGGTTTCTTAGTTTACCCTCTGTGAATATGACGATAAGTAGTAATCATTTTCTGGGTAGTTCACTTTTACGCTTTACATGGAATATAGAAACGTTAGGAACATTATTTCGTATTCTAACTTCTCATAGGCACATCTTCCATCCAAACGTATTTGATTATTGTGACGTTAATGACCGCTACTCGTTCCGAATTTTGTCGTTGATTTAAGCATTTCCTCTGACTTTTTTACATTCCCAGTTGACCTGCAACAATTATTACTCTCTACTTTGTCTCAATGACTATTTAAATTATCGTCATGCACCAGTATTTCATCATAATATTTACAGTCAAATACATGGAGTATTCAGTTGACAAGTTCGACTGAAACGGATATATTCACTTTATCCTAAATTTTCACATACTTTTCTGTTAATCCAGCAACATCAAGCGGAACCTTAACCAAAGTCACCAAAGTCTCTGATGTGGAATGGTACCAACACTTAGCAAATATTCCTTTTTAAATCATAAACAGTATTTAAATAAACAATTGAACAAAAAGCGGTTTGCTTAAACCTTGAGCTACCAAGGTTTCCACTAAATATATTTCATCCAATTCTTCCCTTTCGATTTGTTTTGGCCCTTTGAATATGTTTTCGGAACGTATCGTATACTTTCGCAGAATTTCAAACTGTCGTTTTTCAAGCTTACAACAGAACAAAGAAAGTGCATTATGTCGAATGGAAATGGACTTATAAATATACAAAACTTCAGTGCATCCCTATTTCAAGGATACCTATATGGAATTGCAGATCCTTTTTATCGCTGAATTAACTACGACTGCCTAAATTATGCTCAGTTTTCTCTTCATTCCCCAGTCCATACCAGACGTTAATGTTACTCCAACTACCTGTATTACATCATTGCCTTTAATACTGTTTTTCTTAATATCACTTAGATGCAGTGGTTATTTTGTTTAAAAGCATGCTGAGAATTCCAAACTGAATAAAACGATTATTATCTATTTTATTTAACGAATAATAAATATTTATTTCCACACTCAGACAAGTTGAAGGTGTTTCTGATTTACACATATATAATCGACTGAATAAACGTTTACTGAAGTAGCTAAATATCCTCTATATTTATTGGTCCTAAAAAGTTATAATTGTTTAATAAACAAGGGGAATTGTTCATATCAAGGTACTTTGACGAAGCGAGGGCGCATTATGAACAATATACCTTATTTACTGCACAAATGCAACAGCTATATGTGTAAACTGTAATGGGCTGGATAGACACTATACACACATATGCATATATGAAGCAAGCAATTCTTTTATAATAATCTACTGAACTTGATTTACACAACACTCCATGAATATCACCACTTTTTTGCATACAAAAATAGTGAAGAAATTTTGAGATGAATTAGAAATTTTTTTAGATTGATAAAATGATTCAGAGAAAAAAATTTAAACATGAATGAATGCCAACCTCAGCACTAATTGTAGACGGAGAAAATTATCGCAGAGGACTCTTTTTAAATGAAAAACCCACAGGAAAGAAAACTGAAACATCTAGATAACAAACTGACTTGGACTTTTTTCGGTAACTTTCAGGTAACTGGTTGATTACTTGAAACTAATTCTTACCGTTTATTTAAGATGAAAAATTAACTAACCAATATCAATGAAAGGGAATCATTAAAATGTGTAAAATGGTTGCCTTATATCATTATACGTTTAACTAGTAGGTGAAGATAACAGAAAACATTGACCTCAATGTATGTATAACAGATTTTCACTGATCAGAGGAGGCTTTATTATAACTGATGTCACTTGGATTTTACATTTGCTACAGTGTAATGCCCTAAACAGTGGTGTATTTTCACTGAGATAAGTGACCTCAGTGCACAGTTCATACAAATACATCAGTAATCACTGACATTTTGACATCACATCACTTATAATTGACTCGTTAGTTGCAGTTCATATGTTTACTCAATATAAGGTTTATCATGTTATGGATAGTTATGGCTGAATCAAGGATCTTAACTGTGTTATGCTTATCAGGATTACTAACGGAACATCAGTTTTTAAAGTGTTCTCATATGTATCGATAAACGTGGAATTTATAACTTCAACTGAGTTATGACTAACATCTAGCACCTAAACTTTGCAGCTAAAACCCTTATGTTCACATAAAAACATTGGTTGGAAACTGAAGAATATGTAGTAACAAGTCACACTTCAGAAAAATGAGTCATTTTCTTAGCAGCTTTAATACATCTAGAAAATGTATATAAGGCTTGATGAACTCTGAAGAGCTAAGAGATTTTAAACTCCACGCTAGCAACTTCATTTACAGAAGTGCAGATTTGAAGTTGAGTCTTGTATTTTTGTAAATCTCCTCTCAGCAGAAAGAAAAGTTCTGTCAGTATTTTAACATGCCTTGACATCTAACAAATTTCAGGCTGCGTATTTTTGACACGGTATTTATAGCTATTAATATATCGTTTTAGTTCAGTTAAGAAATTTTGTTGTTTCCCAACTGAAATGAGCGTTACACATGTAAAATAATAGTGTTTAGCTTGCATAGCTTGAAAACAATGTCGAAATGAAAATTCAAGGCTTTTTTTATTACTTATGATGCTTTCATGAAACTAAGAAAAATTTTCAGCTCTGCGAAATCCAGTCGCCACCAATCAACCGATAAGAGATTTTTTTAAGATTTTGCTCTAAAGTTGATTGAATAGTTTTGCGTAGTTTCAGTTCACACAAAAAAATAGAATGTTATTTCCTTAAGATAAATAAGTCTGTTTCAATCACTACGTTTATATATGTGAAGCAAGCAGTACACTAAAGAAACGCTTTTTGAAATGCTGATGAGATGGCTAGAATTATTGATAACTAGTAACAGTTAAGAATGACTTTATTCACCAGCCATTACGTAATTCGTGAACGTGATTTAATGTTGTGAGTTCCTCGAATAATTCAGCTGCTGCTTAATTCTTATGAATTATTAGGTAAGAATTGCTTAAAAAGGGAACCACCGAAAATCAAATGTTGGCTGTAGTCACAGTGGGGTAAATGACCCAGTGGTTAGAGTTTAGCATTGCCTTATTGAGGCTCATTGTTTGAAAAAAATTATAACACAAAATAGCATATTCATTCAGTACCTTGAGGTTCTATACGGTTGTTTAGTAATGTTATATGATTAAAAATTAAGAGCATTCAGCAGAATTCGAAATGAGTATATAAGGGTTAACGGCCGAATAAATAAAACTTAAAGACTATTTGGAAGAAAAACGGGATTATAAACGGTGATTAGTCAACTAATATACTTTTAATTTGATACCTCTTCGAAATGTATGCACTACTGCAGACTTCAAGGATTTTGTATGCCATTTCCCCGGCATTATTTGTGTCCTGAAAACTGATTGTTTAGCTCAGAAAATGCAAAGATCACAAATAAAGTATAGCCAAAATAATTCATGCTGTGTTAGATGCAAGGAATTCCAAGCCAGTCTTAAAGACTGGTGCATATTTTTAAATTATTCATCATGATTTATTGTCACTTAGGTAGGACTTAGTTCACTACACTTTCTTTCTCAGTGCTTGTACATTCTATAAATTGAAAATTTTCCCACATCAATGTTACAATCATACATTGTTCCTGGGCGAAAGGATGGTCACCAATATCATGCCTATCACAGTAATATGGCCAATGGGTTCACTGCTGCCTAAAATTGGCATGTTATGCGTATCATATGACTTCATGACGATGGGTTTTTGCTTTTTTAATGGTAACAAAGATGATAGCATTTCTGTAACGGTGCTATAATAGACTAACATGGATTATTTAAGTGCAAAAAGAATCAAGTGAACTTATGTGGCACATCTGAAAGATAACTAACTGCAATATCTACTGAATTTTTATATGAAGCCGAAACTGAAGGATGGTCTTTGATCTAGTGGTTACAAATGTGCATACTATTCACTTGTATCGTGAGGTGACAGAAGTAGAAAATATAAACCATTGGCCATCGAACATGAGGGTCTCGGGTTTGATCCCTGCCGGAGTCATGGGTGCGCACTGCTGAAGAGTCCCATACTAGGAGGCAACAGCTGTCCAGTGCTCTCAAGTTTTCAATGTTTCTCCAACTGATGTCAGTCTATGATAATATCAACCCGAAGTCAATAAATAAATCCCAAAAAACCTTCAAATTGAATAAAATTTCTGTTGGTTGTTTTCACATCTAATTGTTAGGATAAGGAGGGGAGAGTAAGAATTTGTTGGTAGGTTTCTTCTCAAAATTTATGATCTGTATCAATTCAAAAACACATCGCCGCAACAATGTTTTTGTTATCTAGGATTCTGGTTGCGAAATGTTTCGATATCATACTAAGTACCTTATTTACAGGAATCTGGTGTCATCATCTTCTTGTTCATCAAATCAATGGAATGAAAGCTATAAACAATGACGTCAGTCTTGGGTTAAATTAATATAAACCGGAAACCAAATCAGTCATATTCAATCCATTAAGGTGTCATTTGGTGAACCTTAATAGGTGACTCTATTGCCTCTTTATGCATACATCTGAATACCAAAGAATTAAAACGTCAAGCTTTGGGTTCAACAGTTACATGCAATTTTCAGTGAATATAAAGCAGAATGCAATCACATAAAACAGCTCAGCAAACATAAAAAACTACATTAATCCATGCTTCTGTACAGATAATATCCAGAATATCATTAGAATACCTGCCAATTTAACTGGCACACCAGAGAATGAGACTATCCTGACTATGATATTTGAAAGTGGTCACCTATGACAATGTACACTATGCATCTTTTGTCCAAAAGAATATGCTTTTACAGTTATTCATTCCATACAGTTATAGATTACATGATCAAGATAAATATTAGTTCTGAATACGAATTCCCACGTCTTCTATATGCTAATATAATCCTTTCACTTCCATAGCGTTGATAAAAAGATCAAATTACTTCAGGTACACTGTAGATGAGATGTTCTAGTTGTTATATTTCTACTGAGTTACAATATTCTGGATGGAAGTAACTTGAAAATAGAACTTATTCACATTAGAGAGCATCCAGGAAAGGTGAACTCACAATAAACTGTTTTACTTTCTAAAGGCGATACAAATTTACACCATCTGGAAAGGTATGGCCAGTTCATTTTAACCATGAGTAATGACGACTTGAAAATTCCTAGGCTTGGATCATATATTTAGTTACCATTTATGTTCATTGACCATAGATTTTCTTAGGGCACTGCGCATGTTTGTTGGAGTCAGAGTGTGTAGTAAAGCATAGTAGGCAAAACAGACAGGTCGATTAAGGAGGTTATGAACCTTCATCGACTGATATGGATTGCAACCCCCCCCCTGTCTACCTCTACGTGTCATGCAAACAGAAACTGGATTAGGTTGGCAGTGAGCTCAGGGTAGCCAAACCAAGACGTGTTACCAGTGGGTGAAGTTCCTGACTGTTGGTTTGAACTGTGTGGGGAGATGTCTGCTACCTGCATGTGGTCTGCAAGAAGATGGAGATCAGTCGCTGAGGTCTGTTGGTGACATGTTTGAAAATCCTACACAACGGTGGAGATGTTATCGCTCGTTGACATCTTCTGAAGGATGATTGTTTTGACTAACCTTCATTTTTGAATTTCTTTCCCACCTATATATCTTCATCTACTTTAATATCAGTTTTTCTTATTCAGTTGTTCATTTTATGCTGTTGTGAAGCATAGGGACTTGAACCTATGCTCATCTGTGTGAAGTTTTACACTGATTTTGTCTGTCTATTATTTTCATTTACACTACACTTGGCTGTAATGGCTATTCAATGTTAAAATGGTACTCTTAATCATCGGTTACTCGTTTACTTTATAATGTTCACAAAGGGACCAAGCAAAAGATCCCAATTATCAAAATTAATATTTCAGTTTCTAGAAAATTATAATTACTATTCAAAAAGTCCACTTCTAGGAAATATGTCTTTATTAAACTGTCTTAATTATCATCTTTTTAAATAATGTGGTACTCAACAGTCGCTAATAAATAATTTGACAGATTGACACTTAGAATTAAGGAAAAATTTAGGTTTTAAAGGGAGATCATAGTATTATGAAAAGAATATAATGAGTGATAACAAATACCTTATGGAGTGGTACCTGAAATTATTTAGAGCTTACAGTTTCAACAGCTGAATCAAAATTGAGTAAGCGGATAACAATAACTTGATGTGAAAGGCTATTTCACTGCAATATCAAGGAATTCTTTAGTACAGTGAAGTATTTGCTATATAGCATGTGATATTCAATATATAGCCTCATCAGTATTCAGTTCATATACAGGTCACTGACCTAGAAGCCAAACTTTAAGGTGATAAGCTTGCTGTTCTAATCTCATTTCATTAACTTTGGCCTAGACACTTGAGTTACATCAAACGTCGTTATGTAATTGTGGCTGATTGTCTGATACAACCTCTATTAGTTTAGTTATATATTAGCACTTTGTAAAATGAAAATACTACCCTAAAACTTCAACACATAACTCTGATGATACTCAAAACATGAGGCTTTTTGTTGCTGAACTATCTACAGTCAATTATACTTCTATTCATGAAGTCAATAGGTGCAATAAGGAAATTGTCAATATTTCAGGATAAATAGTATAGAAGCTTAAAAGAAACTTTAATAGTATGCATATCCATGATTCTATATAAATCAATCAAACCTAAATTATTCTCTCCTAATAAATCTTCATCCTCTTTGAGAGTCGAAGCTTAAAGTGACAATGACAAGAAGATACATGATGACTAAATGAGTTATTATAGCTGTTTAAAAAACAGGGTAAAACGTCATTGCAAATAAACCCTCCTGCCCCTGACCAACTAGCATCCATCAAAGCGCACCACGATGGCGAGCTTTCTAGCACAGCGGCCATATTTCAAAATGATCGACCAAATACTATTAACAGTTAGGACTAGACTACATGAAGTTGGTTACCTTTCAGTAACGAATCAATGCATCAGTCCTACAGTAAGTCAATCACTACCCGAACAGCTCGGTGGCAATGCCACTGACTACAACACTTAGTGAGGTGGGTTCATATCTCAGAGGAAAGATCAGTTCTCATGAGATTTCAGATAAAATTTGCTGAGGAATACCAGCAAGCATGCAAAGTAAGTGCGAGAATACCTGCCTATTGCACCCAACCAACTAACATGGTTAAATACTTATTCACAAAATGTTTTTGCCAACTTAATAACTGCAGAATACTTTGAAATGGTTTTTTTTTAATTAAAAGGTATACTTCAAGGAAAAATACACACTATCTTAACCAATATTTTAGAATTCCTCACGGACAAGTCTTTGTATGTTCAAAAAAATGGAATGATTCCTGGTTTGGAATTTCGGTAACTCTATATGCCTCATTAATTTATGGATTTAGATATGAAAATGACTCTCAGAAGATAATAAAATATCACAATTAAAAAGCCTATGTAAGGTAAAATGAATTTTTAATGCTCTTTGATCCGTAGAGATTCAGTTTTGAATTATTCTGTATAATAAATAAAGATATTTATAAAAATAATCAACTTTTCAGTTTGAAAATAAGAACAAGTCTTATTCCTATTAAACTTTGTACGATACATGTGACTGAAGTGTTTTCAAAAGCCGTGAATCACTTAAGTTGGATAGTCTAAAGATCTCGAAAATACATGTGAATTTATTCAAATCAATCCTTAGAATGTATATATTCAGGGTGGTTAAAACATACAGTTAAAAGTAAAGAACAAATGCTGTTACTAATATTCGCTTTGATTGCTATATGCGGTAAAAAATACGATACCGTGAAGGCATATAATCTTTTTATTCTATTTATAGGTTTGAATGATGCGATTTGTCAGGGATATCAAAAGGTAATCTATTTCTTCTTATATAAGCTTGCTCAACGATAATCTGTTATACATGTACCTTGAATAATAGTAGACAGGATGTTGTTATTTTCACATGTATAATATTAATAAATCAAATAAAAAAGTGAAACACTCAAGAATAGAGGTCTACACTGATAAATGATCATTGACCAGTCTCTTGTATGTTATCTGAGGAAATATTTGAGGTCTGAAAGTTTGTGATAAAAGAATTTTTTGGTACTGAATAATGTAGGGTTGAATACATGGGAAGAAATGATTTTCTTTGAGTTTTTTAATGAGTATTAAAGAGGATGAAACTTATGTTCAATATTGCTTCTCGTCGATTCATCCTAAGTATCGAACACTAGATATCGCTCTCATGTCGAATTACTTAGCTTATTGTTGAAACTGCATATTTCACGTATAAACTTCTAGATTTAAACTAATAAGCGAGTGGCTATCAGTTTTAAAATTTAATATGAAGCTTTTATAAATTTTAATTGTTTCAAAGTGATATTCATGATGGACTGGCATCAGTTCGAGAACCAACGGAAACCTATGAGCACTGGACAGCTGTCTTCTTCTAGCATGAGATTCCTCAGTAGTATGCATCAACGACCCCAGAAGGGATCGAACTCAGGACCTTCACCTGTTCAGTGCTCCCAAGTTTTCAACTGTTCTCCAACAGTACACGATGAATACTACTTTGAAATGTTAAATGATTAAGCTTACTTATGTTTAATAAATTTACAACTAGTTATGTTACATGCAACGTCTTATAATCCAGTTACCCTTTTAGGAGGTTATTTGCTTAAAATACGTCATATGCAGAGCCAGGTATTTGCGGCACCACATATCTCACTCACTTATTTATTGTATGCATTAATCCAAATTTCGAACTTGCATCACCGCAGAAAGTTGTTTTATCTTAAGTTATACAGATGTCTGCGGAAAGCGTTTAGACCAAAGAACTGAACTGGGGGCTGAATAATGGTATATTACCTTGGTATATATATACAACTCATCGTATATTGCTGACTATTTAATTATTAAAGTTTCGACTTTTAACTTCCAAATGTGCACTTTTCAAAGGAAATACCTATGCTTGTAAATGTTAAGTCTGGTGCGAGTTGTATAAGTATAGCCTATATAACGTTATGACCGAAAACGAAATCTTAATTATCACACAAAGTATAACTTTCTGATTCCCTAACTACAATTGATAAAGATATTGAAGGTTCTAAATAGCAGTATTCATTTAGTACTCTTTTGATTTCATCCATTAGATGAAAAGATATTCAAACCATTTGCAAATCATCACCCCCAGTGAAAGCTAGTCAACTCAGGAATAACCTTATGTTATCATTTTCTTGGAATGTGTCGTCCCTGGTTCAAATCCCGCAGCAGCCCAAATTTTCATTTCACCTTCAATCATCACTCAGTATAACTCCTAATCTGTCAAATTCCTGTTATCTCAGATATTCAAATGATAATTAACATGATGGTCCCCCTTTCTTATTCAGTTAGATTTGGAGTGGGATGAGAAGTAGTGAGTGGGTGATCAGTGTGAGTACCACCAGGTGGTAGTAACGTGTCACGAACTCATACGGTAGTCCGGCAAAACGCTTGGGAATTGAAGTTAAACAAAAATCTGGTCAGCAGTCAGACTTTCCGGTTCAGTTAGCAGATAACCGAGCCGGAAACCTGGTGATCGCTGGTTGGAATCCCACCGTGTTCCAAATTTTCATTTCATCTTCAATCACCACCCAGTATAGATACAAGCCTGACAAACCATGTCTATCTCAAATAATCAAATGATATTAAATTATCAGTGAGTAACTTACGTCAGTGATTTTTCAGTACGCCTGACTAAGTCTTGATATGGCTTATACATGGAAAGATCAGTAACTATAATGGTGCTTCTTTGTAGTACGGTTTCATACCTTCTACTCCAAATATTCCACCATCCAACAAATTTACAACAGCATACTATAAACAATCATAAGATCACAGTCTGATATGTGAAAACAAGTGACCTCAGAGTAACTAAAAATCCCATATATTGAGTTTTGGCGACTGGATGTAAGCTGCTGTCCACAATATCTGTAGGTAATGAATTCAGTCTAGTGAGAGATCACTAGCTTTCTGCACTGTAAGAGCCATCCAGTGATACCATGTTCTCAGTTTGAGGTGGAAAATGTACACACAAAGTATTTAAGTGAATTGTTTAACATGTTTATGACATTATTGGTATCATTCAGGTCTGCTAGCGGGATAATAAGCGTTTACTTGATCTGTTTTTAAATCATATAAGTTTTACTTATTCCTTTGTTGTGAAGTATGATTTATAATTCGCTCCGAAAATATGCTACTAATCAACTTTTTTTCTAATTTTTACTTTTCTTGATTCCTGTTTGAAAGCCAAATCCATCAGAATGTCATTTACGTAAGAATCAAATAAATGTTTTCATATATATATATATATATATATATATATATATATATATATATATATATATATATATATATATATATATATATATATATATACTTTTCAATAAGTGTTAATAAACCGGTCATAGATGTTCTGGTGTTCCTAATCACCAGTATACTATTCAACAGAAATCAATTCAAGAAGCTTCTGTTAGGTTCATACGTTTAAACATAACTAGCATAGTACTTTCAAGCCCTAATGATTGACGAAATTATTAGTGAAATGTCTGGTAGGCTAATTTCATCAGGATTAATGTACTTATGACTTATCTGGAATAGAAATTCTTACATAAATATGACACTTCTAAAAGCTTTATAATCAATTATTTCATACTGTTAGTATAGTCAACTTAAATAATACACTTACCTAATCAGTATTAAAACGTGTTGCTATGACCTGGTGAAAATAAATTTATGCATTAAATATCTCATAAATAGATCTCTTTTCTACTCATAGGTAATAACTCCCGGATTAACGTATATAGTATTGACAACTTTCTTGAATATTTCATGTACTTACACTATCTCATAATGAACTGTTAAATGGCTTTGTAATTTTAATCAAAATAATTAACCAGTCAGTCTATGTTATTGTTGTATCAATCTGCGAACTACTTTTCGTTACCTACTTCACACTTCTTGAAGTTCACAATCACAAATGGTGATGTATCTGATGTAGACTATACAATAAACAAGTGACTGTTGAATTCCCTATCTAAAACATAGCTTTGTCTTTTATAGACGCTATTGTTTTATGTGAACGAGCGAATTTGAAGACCAATTTTAAAAAAACTGTCAAAATATAAATTAAACACTCTATCCTACATTTCTGTACATATGCAGGTAATTTACTCAGTCGGCTGGCTCTATCTAATCAATGGCATGAATTCTGAGTTTGATTGCAATCTTACACTTATTTCTAATTTTTTTATCATCCTCACACATTATGACTGATCTACAATTGATCTCCAACCAAGAGGTATCTTTTACTTCTGTAGATCATAGTTCTTTGAGATTAGTATGTTTCAGCTTACACTAAATTCATTCAGTTCATAATTTACGAAGATTATTGTCTCTAATCTTGGTAAATATTTTCAGTGTGTGAAGTTTGCACCTCCACCTTGAATGCTACAAAATACATACTGGACAACGAACCATTTTTGCCCAAAATACTGGAATATCTCACTCCAATATGCTACATGTTACCCAGACGACGATATCGAGAAAAGGTATGTTGATTCATTTAGGGTGAGAATGATAATATTTTAAAATTAGTTTATTAGCAGAATTACTCTTCATAGTGTTTTGATTGTGTTTCAGGATATTCCTTTTATGAAGATAGATGGATAGATCTAACCAGTCTTTTGAGCTAGAAAATATTTATTTGATGAGAGTTTTTATCAAGTAACTATTAAAAACCTGTTACGTACTACCCTGTGACTCCTTAGTATTACTCACTCATAAATGAATATGATTTCTGATCCATGATCTTTAACTATGACTTTTTTGGTGTAGCTATTCGATTAGGAGTAAATATTTCGCCATTCCAATGAGTAACTCGATCATGCAACGATCACGTTTTAGAATTCTTCCATTTTGGTTACTCAGTCACTCATAGGTTTATGTTTTTAATGGTTTCTGAAAGCTTAAGACAGTAGGATAAACACTTTGTGGGAAATGGTGGCAACTGTTTCATAGATGAATCGTCTTGTAAACAAAAAATAAAACTTACCACATAATGCTGCTTTGGATTAAAAAAATATGAAAACAAAGTTTCATGTAGTCATTATTATTTTTTACTTATTAGTGTATCTGTACGTGGTATAAGGTGGGCGTCAAGATCTATTGAAGACGGATAAATCTATGTGTGCTACCACTTTATTGTGACTTAGAGTTTTGATCATTTTCAACGTAACCTATCTACTGCGTTACAATTTGAAGCCGTGGATTGTACCTTTAATCACGGGAAAACGAATACGACAAAATTCTCTCTCCGCATATCTCAGTCTTCCTAATTGTTACATAAATTATTAGAAAGACTCCTTTGAGCATAATTTGGTTCAAAAACTCCAAAGTGATGGAATTTAGTTGGAAGTAAACGTTTTTCTATGAAAGGAATAATTAAAGAGATGAGCATAACGTGTGAGTTTTCTTGGAGTCATGTAAACCTTGATGAAAGTATACGAAGTGATTCATTCCAGACAGGATGAAATTCACCCGTTGAATCCAACTCTGTCCTCCACTAACTATTTCTGAAGCTTTTAAAGTTGGTATTCATTACAAATTGACATCAGTTAAATAGACATTGAGAATCTAAGAGCACTGAAAAGCTGCTTCGTTCCATTATGGGACTCCTCAACAGTGCAGACAGACTTCTGAAGTGGAATATTTGACTACAGTCGCTGAGCCATAACATTAAAGTGCCTAACCGAATGAGCAATAAGAAGCGCAAATAATATTTGATATTACCATTTAGAATTCTAATTCAGTAATACGACAGATATATATATATATTCCTGTCTATCAAAACATGGAGTCGAGTGCACATTAGTTCTGTTCAAATGATGCATCTAATAGAGATCTGACCAGACAATGAAACCCGCAATAGGCCCTAGTTTCGAGTTTCAGTGGGGGAAACTATCACTCATTGGGATGCAGATATATCCAGTCAGCGAGTCCCTAGTAGGACACGACATGCGCCCTACAAGTCGATCTGTTTACCTTAAAACTGGAATCAACTTTCTCAAGTTCAGAGTAACTGACCGTAATGGTGTGAACACAAATCTGAACAACACATGAGCAAGTGCTTCTCACTCCACTGTGTCAATCAACTTACATAAGTTTGTGGACACACACATAGAAATGGGCAACTGCAGCCTTCGACTCAGAACCTTTGAATATAGTCCTGATTTGCTCTAGAATCAATTCATTTCTAGTAGGATGAAGGGTTGTAGCAAATCTTAAGTACCATTACTTTTAATCCCTAGGATAACAACTACATTGAAATCAAATTAATCCTGAAATATAAACCAATTATTAAACTAAAGTTAAAAAATTCTTTCACTTTAAACTTCATGGTGATAATATTTCTTTGAGATTTTTATAATTATACAAAGTTTATGCTTTTTTGATGATAGTGTCGTGAGCTTGTCGAAGGTGGCGCAGCTGAACGAATTCATGAATGGATTGATCATATTGACCCTTATAAATATTGTGCCGTAAGTGTAATCCAAATATTCAAATTCTAATATAATTTGAACATAGTTTTGTTTCACTTATGGTTGTATTGCATTCTCTGAGCTCGATGGCTGCTACGACAATTAGGATCAGCACTACACTAGACGAAGTCGTCGCTTTTTCACATTTGTTTACATGAATAATGATTAACTAATAAACGTCACGAACTTTTGCCACTGTTATTAATGGACACGAAAATGTAGAGACCTTGAACAGACGAATCACAAAGAATACCGAAGAATTTTCAGTAGCTTGACATTCATGCCAGTTAACAATCAGTAGATGTATAAAAATAAATTCAGCCTATTAAGCAATGAGAAAAATGACAAGCAAACACAAGGTCAAAGATTAAGCAGAAGAAGAGCCAGCAGAAAGAGATCTTGAGTCAATGAAACAACAACCAAAGGAAACAACTAATCAAAAACCAATTCGACAGGGTAATCTGCTACATCACTCACACAGCTCACTTCATATTGAAGTCAGAGCTGATGTTGTTGTCTAGAAAGACAACGAAAACTTCATGATTCAACCACCCGGCTTAAAGAATGCGATGCATTCAGTAACATCCATTGCAGCTACGTATATTCCCCACTATATTTTACCTTTATTCTACTAAAATCTGCTTTTTTCGAGGAAGATGTATAACTGAAATTTTCTTCCACATGTTTACTTTGTTGATACTCTACTCGTCTTCATAAATGTACTGAATGAAGCACAAATATAATTGCTGTGTAATAAAGTCGTGGGTATGACTGTTTCATTCACCTTTGCAAAAATATTCGTTTAGCTATGATAAGATATGTTCATAATATTGTGAAAAAAATGTCTTTGGGTAGGTAGTTGGGGACAGTGCAAAAATTTCAGGACAAGTCTACTTTCATGTATCTCATTGATTTTTATTAATATCAAAGCATAAGAAAATGAGTCGCATACTGTAATGATATATTGGGCATTTAGGAACTTATCATCTTCCAACTTTGTGGTCACTTAAGTCCACTATATTGACTTCTTTACTTTAAAGGGGAGATGAAGCTATTGTTTGAGCTTCATGGTTTATCTGGGAAATCAGTTGAGTACAAATCATATATTAAGTTCCTTATAAATTTTAACAGGGCATCTGGGTAGACTAAACTATGTAGGCCTGGATGCTCATTAGTTGTCCTATCGTAGAACACAACTACACATCGAAAAATAAACTCGTATGCATCAATGGTTTGATATCACGTATCTCAAAATTAACTAATGTGGATTAAAGTGCACCGAGAAAATGAAGCAACCAACTACATGAAAATACTGTAGAACTACTAGTGGATTTCAGTTAGTATCCATTCTACAAAGAATAGCTTCAGACATTCAATAACCAATCCCATGATGGCGTCAGGAGTAACAAATCATGTGCGGATCAAATTGCTATGCTACACTGCGCATCATCATACAACACAACATGGAATGACAATCAACTCAAATCAACCTCAATTTCATACATCTCAAAAAGGCATTCGACAGCCACGACCAACAAGTAATTTGACAGGCAGGTGCTCCAACACTACGGTTTCAGTGCCACAAAAACTTCATCAACTTCACTGAACAACAGTTATATGCCATAGGATGCTGAGTGATGTCAAGTGACACGTTTGAAGTGAAGACAGGAGAGAGTAAGACGAGGTTTCCTCCTACTATCACAGATCATCTTCCTGATTGCGGTCAACTGGACTGGACTGGACTGGACTGGATTATGCAACAAACTGTGAGGAGCTGTGAGAAGATGAACATACGCTGGTTGGACTGATGAAAAGACCTTAGGAGGAGGTTTGAATTTCGCCCAAAATGATTTACGTCTAATGTCACACAAACTCGAGGATCTACATGCAAACACCAACAAGCTGACAGAAGAGGTGAAGCAGCGGAGGAAATAAGATGGAACTTGCTTCATGTGAGCATAGAGAAGACGGAGGTGATGAAGATACACAACCGACCAACCGACTGACCAACCAACCAACCAACTAATAACAACAAGAACAGCAACAACAACAACAAGCACCGATCACCATGAAAGGAAGAAATCTGAAGGAGGAAGTCTCTTTCACCTACCTACCTGCCTACCTACCACCCCTAACCTACCTACCTACCTACCCACCTAACTACCTACCCACCTACATACCTACCTACCACCCATAACCTACCTACCTACCTACCACCCCTAACCTACCTACCACCCCTAACCTACCTACATACTTACCTACCTACCTACCTACTTACCTACCTACCTACCTACCCACCTACCTACCTACCTACCCACCTACCTACCCACCTACCCACCTACCTACCTACCCACCTACCTACCTACCTACCTACCCACCTACCTACCTACCTACCTCCACCACTAACCCAGGCAGCATCGTTTCAAGTACAGGCGGCAGGGACACAGATGAGGATATCAAATCCAGCATTGGAAAGACGTCAAGACAGGCCTCCATCATTCTGAAATAATCAGTGTGGAGATCTATTGCACTGCACTGCACTACACTGCACTGCACTGCATTCAGGATGAAGCATGAACATGATCCGGATTTTGAACACTGACATGAAATCAGTGCTTCTCTGTGATGGTTGAGAGACTTGGTGCTTTACGGAAGGCATTTCGAACAAACTGCAGACATACAACATCATAAGCTGCTGCCTACGCTCGATACTACTAGAACTACAGATTTAGAAAATAGGACCTCTCAATATACAAACGATTTCCAACCTCAAATGTGCAGAGGCTACACCGTCCTTTTTTCAACTAAAATTTCAGATAGTTTCAACTTGATAATATTATTAGACTATGAAGAAACTGGACCATGGTGAAAACTTATTGACATATCTGGAAATCTGAATGCTAAACGAGTAAAGCATTTAACTCGAAACCTCGTAGACCCACATCAAGATAACCTTCGGTGATGACAACAGGACACAAATGAGGTATATTTGTCACTGATTCTCAGCATTTAACTGCCTCGCGAAACAATGAAGCTGTACTCGAACGAAAATTACTGTCTAATAAGTAAGAATTACCAATCCAATCCCCTTAGTTGACCCTCTCACCATATGAAAATCCACCAGTCCTCGAATTACTCAAGTTTCTGGACGGTCATAATGGCAACGAAAGTCTGGTCAGTCAGTAAAATCCAGGAGATCAACTCACCTATTAACTTTAAAGTGAACATATTCATAACAATGCTATGCAACAGACTTCTCTAGTTCTTCGTCTAACAGTGAATGTACCTCCTTGATAATGCTGCATACCTTAACGTGAACTGTACGGAAAACCCATTGCCATTTGTCTGCAGCCCTTCAAATTTTTATTCCTTTGCACCACAATATCTGGTTCTGATGGCGTAAATCTATATTACTGTGAACAGTGACACTTGAATGGATATTCACATGGATTACATGAATATGTTAAAAATTACAGATCCCCGAAATCGTCACTGTGGGTTCTTTTCGTCTTTATTATTATTATTATTATTATTAGTCCCTTGGGTTCCTAGTGGAACATAGGGCTTCAGTAGCACGCCTCCAGTGACCTCTGTTCTCTGAGATCTTTCGAACCTGGTCCCACGACAGCCCACAACCTCTCATTTCCTCCTCGCACGACCTCCTCCATGTCACCCTCACTCCGGACGTCCAACTCGTCGCTTCCCACGGGGATTCCACTCGAGCAACTGGCCTGACGCGTGATGTCCTCCGTCGGCCTTCTCAGTGCATGGCCAATCCATCTCCACTTCCTCCTGCATATTTGTTGCGTGATAGGTTCTTGGTTGGTTCGTTCCCAGAGTTCCTTGTTGCTTATTCTTTCTGGCCATCTGATCTTCAGTAGCGAGCGTAAGCAGTTGTTGATGAATGTCTGTAGTTTATTGGAAATGCCTTTCGTGACGCGCCAAGTCTCTGAACCATACAAGAGCACTGACTTGACGTTGGTGTTGAAAATCCGTATCTTGTTCCGCATGCTGAGTGCAGAAGATCTCCACACTGGTTTCAGGCTAATGAACGCCTGTCTTGCTTTTCCGATTCTGACTTTGACGTCCTCGTCCGTCCCGCCTGTAGTTCTTTTCGTCTCCGAGGCTATAATTATAAGAGTAACGGGTCATTACGAAGATGAATCAAACATGTCGACTGCATATAACATAAATTTGGAATTTTGCACGACCTTGATGCTACCAACGGTGAAAAAGAAAGTATGGCCTAAAATGATCTAAATTTTAGCACTTTTCATATGCTGAAAAGAGGTATTTTCATGTTCATTTCATAGTTTGTGTAATCTTTTGATGTTTTTAATCGAATTTAATGACCGAGTCCGAGGGTGACATAGAGGAGATCGTGTGAGGAAGAAATGAAAGCTTGTGGGCAGTTGTAGAGCCAGGTTTAGAAGATTGCAGAGAAGAGAATGTAGTGCAGATGTGCTACTGAAGCCGTATATTCTACCAGTAACCCAAAGGACGAATAATAATAATAGTTGATTCATTCAAGTTCGCTCTACGCGGTTATTCTGTTCATCTTTATTTTCGTACTTTTCATTATCAGTCTTAGCATTTTCAAAACATAGTATTGTTCAGCTGACTATATTTTCGTTCATCATGTTTTGTTCTGATCAACTAATTAACTTGATTTTGCAGTAAAGTCGAATGTTCCCACTGAATCATAACACTACTGCAGTAACTCAGTAGTTACACTTCTACCCGCACAGCTAAGTGATGCATTTTCGAATCTCAAGGAAATCATAAGCTCCTTTCCTACACCTCTTGCATGCTGGTGAAGACAATCTCAAAGCTTAAAAAATGACCGTTTAGTAAGATACTTGGTTATAAAAACCATATTTCTAATTCAGGAAAATTCTAATATATAGGAAGTTTTAGCTCACTGTTAGTCATTCTTGTGGGTTGCACAGAGGGAATAAATTTTTCAGAACTGATAGTTCCTGATGTTAGGCTTTATGAATCATCTATGCTAATATCTGAATGCCTTTTGCCTACTGCAATAATACGACAAACAATGGTATTTTAGAAACATTATCTACTGAAGAAACTATGGTTATTATTGTAAGTTTCTCATAGATAAAAAAAGAAAATATTTTCCCTTTCCAGGCTATCAGACTATGCAAACATACAAATTCATCCTCAGATCTCCAGGCAACCTCATCTTGTAAGTTGTAGAAATTTCATGTTATGACGTTAACTCTATGAATATATATACTGAAAAATGACTCACTAATCTGAAGTAGAAAAGTTGTTCCATGCGCATAGAATTCAAATGTCATTCTAAAAATAAGAACAAGTTATTGGATGTACCAAAACCATTAGCATTTCTGACTAGCTTGTTCAGAAGGGTTTCACTGCTCCAAGAATGTTTTTGTTAATGAGGTTACTTGTGGCTTTCAATGATTTTATTTGTTTAAAGATGATTACAGAAGTTTCAAAGACTAATGGTCACCTGAAAGCAAAGTATAAATGTCATCAAATTAATAAAATGGCCTACAAGCGATAAGTATACTTTTTTATATTCAATGACTAATATACATGGTTTCCTAGTTATGAAAATTGAACGAATCCATTAAAAGGAATACAGCATTAAGTATATTCGTTAGTGTATCTCCTTTTAGAACACGATATCAAGTTATTGGAACATTTTCAGTGAAAATAATTCGACCTTCATGCCACCTGAAATTGAAGAGATCTCTTTTATCATACCTTAAACAACCAAAGAAAATGAAAAATTAGGGACTTATATGAACCTGGTGTCATCTGAGTTTCAAAGTATCTACTCCTAAGCTGGATAGACCCCTTTGATTTCTGGTTCTCATGAAATCTTTTAGTTGCACGACATCATAATTATAACTCAGAAACCGAGAGTAAAATTTGAATGCTAGGCGAATGTAGTTTCATAGAATATTTCTTTATTTTGATGAAGTAGACAGTGATGCTATAAATGTATGCTGGAACAAATGAGCCTATTTAATGTAGAATTTTTGTTGTGGCTATTTGACTTCTATTTACGTTTCCCTATTGACAAGACCTTTTAGTTTACTCATGCGATTATACCAAGATAAGGAAAACACCTTGAAAAAAAATTAAACCTACTAGGCGATGAAGTAGCCATCTGAATGGCTTTTTAAGGATAGTGTCTGAGAATTAATTCTTTAAAAATGAAGAAAACAGTCGAAATAGCATCAGATAAGCAACATTATTTAGAACTCATATGACTTTGAAATGCAAAGAGAACTGGGCAATATTGTATTTTCCAGCAGACAGCTCTACACAAACCGAACCTCCAGACGAAAGTTGAATGTCAGATTAGAAGTATTGTAAATATTTTCTTAACTTTAAAATTATTAAATTCAGAAATGATCGTCACAGTTTCACATTAAAAAAACAGATTACAATCCACTTTTACATGTAATGTACTTCAAGATACCAGGCGTACTTATCAATCGCAGAAACACTTCTAAATACATGTTCAGACAATATGAATTCAGAATTTCATTTGCTTGCAAACTGTGAACCGTCACAAAGAAGCTACTGCTTACATGTAGTATGATACTGTGTCACACAGTGGAATTTACTGAGCTCATTTTTCTTGATACCTTTAAAGAAATATAAGCTGTTTTTAGTAAAATGTGTTAAGATGAACTGAAGTTTGTGAACAGCTGTTGACAATGACAATAAAATTTGAGCAGGCCATAGTTTATTTTCAGTTATTATTATTATTATTTACTTGTCGCTTGGGTTCTCAGTGAGACATACGGATTCAGTAGCACGTCTCCATTTCAGTTCGTTATCTGCAGTCTTTTCAGGTTGACTCAAACACTGCACACAAGCTTTCATTCCTTCCTCACACGATCTCCATGTTACTTATGCTTATTATAATGGACACCTGATCGTGAGTATCGAGTGAGCGTAGGCAGCAGCCTATGATGTTGTATGTCTGCAGTTTGTTCGAAATGCCTTCCGTAAAGCACCAAGTCTCTCAACCATCACAGAGAAGCACAGATTTCATGTCAGTGTTCAAAATCCGGATCATGTTCATGCTTCATCCTGAATGCAGTGCAGTGCAATAGATCTCCACACTGATTATTTCAGAATGATGGAGGCCTGTCTTGACGTCTTTCCAATGCTGGATTTGATATCCTCATCTGTGTCCCTGCCGCCTGTACTTGAAACGATGCTGCCTGGGTTAGTGGTGGAGGTAGGTAGGTAGGTGGGTAGGTAGGTAGGTGGGTAGGTAGGTAGGTAGGTTAGTGGTGGTAGGTAGGTTAGGGGTGGTAGGTAGGTAGGTAGGTAGGTAGGTTAGGGGTGGTAGGTAGGTAGGTAGGTAGGTAGGTATGTAGGTAGGTAGGTAGGTAGGTTAGGGGTGGTAGGTAGGTAGGTTAGGGGTGGTAGGTAGGTAGGTAGGTAGGTAGGTAGGTTAGGGGTGGTAGGTAGGTAGGTTAGGGGTGGTAGGTAGGTAGGTAGGTAGGTAGGTAGGTAGGTTAGGGTTGGTAGGTAGGTAGGTGAGGGGTGGTAGAAGGGTAGGTAGGTAGGTAGGTGGGTAGGTAGGTAGGTAGGTAGGTAGGTAGGTTAGGGGTGGTAGGTAGGTAGGTAGGTAGGTAGGTAGGTTAGGGGTGGTAGGTAGGTTAGGGGTGGTAGGTAGGTTAGGGGTGGTAGGTAGGTTAGGGGTGGTAGGTAGGTTAGTGGTGGTAGGTAGGTAGGTAGGTAGGTAGGTTAGGGGTGGTAGGTAGGTTAGGGGTGGTAGGTAGGCAGGTAGGTAGGTAGGTAGGTGTTCGCATGTAGATCTTCGAGTTTGTGTGACACTAGACGTAAATCATTATGGGTGAAATTCTAACCTCCTCCTGTGGTCTTTTCATCAGTCTAACCAGCGTGTGTTCATCCTCTCACAGTTTGTTGCATAATCCAGTCCAGTCCAGTCCAGTCCAGTTGACCGCAATCAGGAAGATGATCTGTGATAGTAGGAGGAAACCTCGTCTTACTCTCTCCTGTCTTCACTTCAAACGTGTCACTTGACATCACTCAGCATCCTATGGCATATAACTGTTGTTCAGTGAAGTTGATGAAGTTTTTGTGGTACTGAAACCGTAGTGTTGGAGCACCTGCCTGTCAAATTACTTGTTGGTCGTGGCTGTCGAATGCCTTTTTGAGATGTATGAAATTGAGGTTGATTTGAGTTGATTGTCATTCCATGTTGTGTTGTATGATGATGCGCAGTGTAGCGTAGCATTTCGATTCGCACATGATTTGTTCTTCCTGGAGCCAGACAGTCAGCTTTTTCTGGTGGTGATTTTGAATCCAGCGCATTGTTTAGTCTTTTCAGTACAATGCACATGTGGTGGACATTTGCATGATTCCGCGGCAGTTCTTGCAAAGACTCGGTTTAATTAACCTTTTTTGGAAGTCTGTCAAGTAAGCTCTTCTTCCAGCTGGCAGGTAGCTTCACTTATTTCCAAACCTGCTGCAATAATGGTGTGAGCATGTTCTCTGTTCAGTAGGTGTTTTTTATTAAATTACCAAACGTATTCACTTTTGTAGATGAAGCATAATTTGAACTACCTTAGTTATATACTTACATTTTCTCTGAGATCTTGATTTTTAAACTGCATATGATATAAAGTTTCCTATTTTTTTACCGATTATAATACACAATAAACTACATATCAGAATGCTTTTTGATTTTCAAATCTTACACATATTTGATTTCCCCATGAAACCTGAAGTTTCTGAGTTTGATCACTAACAGGATCACTAGTGCATACTATGGAAGAGTCTCATATTAAGGAGGAACAGTTTTCCAAAGTTTGTCCAGGGTTTAAAAGTCCCTTAATATTACACTGACATCTTCACATTTGACAAAGTCAGATAAAGAAGCTTTGTCACACACACACACACACACCATATTGACCTCATAAGATAGCAAAAGTTGGTCTACTGAACAATTAAAGATATTTTTTGGTGAATATATTGACTGACTCACCGAAATGTATTATATGTCACCATACCATTGCAATAAGTGTGGTTTATATGGGGAATATAATCCATTGTATTAAAGTAAGATCTCAGGCTGACATTCATTTCTATTACTCTGTACATTAAGTATGAATGCAAACAAATGTATTGCTTTTCAGATGAACATTTAAAGACCATTGGCTTCAAATGTCAAAGACGAATCAAAAAGATCATCAGTCGGATCTCTTACTATACATTCACCTAAATTTCCTCAGTATATATTTAAACAGTGTCGCATCTTCTTTAACGAAAATCTGCAAGGTAGATTAGCTATTGTCACTTTGATGTCATTTTCAAACTATTATTTTGAATCTGCAAATGTCATTAACTTAAAACAACCTTTTCTGTGTTTGAGGTACAAGTGAACACATAGAATATGCTCTAACTGAAGTCCTTTCCCCTGAATACATTGATACAGCGACAAAGGAACTATGCAGTCGTTATGCAGAAGATGTTAACAAAGTAAGTTGACTCTAAAGTGATATGAAGACCTTTAGGCGTGGTACGAGTGAGTTATATACGGAAATTGTTAAGAATTATGCGTGTTTCAATTAATCAGCTTTTTACACTGCTACATAATCTTGAATAACTGAATGACACCACCTTTGATAAAGGTTGAGGACGAATATGAAGACCACGTTTTTCATAAAAAACACTCACTGATCAGTTATATTTTTTTAGTTTAACTATCATAAAGAAATCCTTCATCATCGCCACTCAATTAGTTTAGCAACTACTTATTAGAAAGTATTCAGTCATTGTGCAACATCAAACCAGGTGCGACCGGTTATTTTTAGGCGCCAATTATTGGATATATCAACTTTCTTATACATTATCATTAATCAACTGTAATTGTTTCGAAAATACTCATTTCTAGTGCACAAATGTTCTGAAAATGCTAGCGAATATGTTTTTCAAATACATTTTTGAGGTAAGTTCTAAATCTTTCTTTTTGGTACCCTAGAATATAAAATTTTAGGCAAAAGATACCCCATCAAACTCGTTTTTAAAGAGTAAAACCAAAGAGCTTTTTACTGAAGTAGATGAAGGTTTCGATGTGAATTTAACCTGTGTAGAATGTCATTGCGCAACAAATATGCAGGAGGAAATGGAGATGGATTGGGCATGCACTGAGAAGGCCGACTGGGGACATCACGCGTCAGGCCCTCGAGTACAATCCCCATGGTAAGCGACGAGTTGGACGTCCGAGGGTGACATGGAGATCGTGCGAGGAGGAAATGAGAGCTTCTGGGCTGTCGTGGAGCCAGGTTCAAAAGATTGAAGAGAACAGAGTTCTCTGGAGACGTGCTACTGAAGCCCTATGTTTCATTAGGAACCCAAGGGACTAATAATAATAATAGAATGTCATTGATTTTAACCATTTGTAGTTTTTTGGAGTGTAATATAAGTCAACTAGAAAACCAGTAAACTCTTGAATGCATTTACTAGAAGTCATCCTTTGTTCTAAGGACCTTCAGCAGACGACTCGTACGCTTCACGACATGAAGCCTTCTAATCTTATCTGACACAGGATTAACCAACCGAAAAGCTGAAGAATTCTAAACGACGATGACATAGCTGTCTATTTTTTTCTGTAATGTAGTAAAATGCATTTAATCCAAGTTTAAAATAATTGACAATGAATGCCATTTTGATCAGTCTTTTATATACTTTTTTTCAATTTTTAGATGCAGAGGCAGTTAATTGATTTCATATAAGAATATATATACCGTTGAAATATAAATTTTATTTCATACTTGGCCTTCCATTTTTTGTGTTACTTTAATATAACAGATACTTAGAGAAGGATTTTGATATAGAATAAATTACTTCACCAAACACAATCACGTCATTTCTCTTTATGATGGAGTTCACACCTATTTTGTATAACTGCACTCTTCATTTATGTCGCCAGATTATCTATTCTTTTTTAACCCATCTTTGTATATACCTAGTTTAGCTTTCATAACGTAATACGAAGTGAAACCGAAAGTTATCTGGTTGCTGTTTCATCTGCACTTCTGATATTTTCAAAGTGAATACATTCAGTGTTCCCTGTGAAAAAGACCCTAGTATGTATACTGGAGAGAAGTCATAAGACTTCAATCTCATTCCACTGAAAAGACCAACAGACTAGTACAGTTAGTCAATGCTTCTTCATTGTTCTGAATGTGCATCTTAGATTACACTGTTCTTCGTCGAGCTGTCTTTTATTGGTCTGGGGATTGGATTTATAAGCAATGAACCACAAGTTCAAACACTTCTCCAACTACCAAAGTCTGAGGAGTCAGATATTGTCATTAGCCCTCATAAACTACCAATAAACGCCAAATATTGCTAAACTGAAAGAAATTAGGCATCACAGTCGCTCAGTAAATCACCGAGTATTGATTAAATATTACAAGAGATTTACCGAGTCATACTGGTCGACCTCTGTTGGCAGATGGCCCCCTATGCATATGATTTGATATAGCTAGAATATTCACCTTATTACAGTCTACTTGGTGCTCTCCAATGGAATCCAGAACGTGCATTTCGTCCAGCTGAGCAATCATCAAATAGACATACGTGTTCCTTAGTGAGTGTTGTTGTCCACACTCAGACACGAACCCAGTATCCATTGCCTTGAACTTCAAAGCGTTGTCCATTGGGCCACTGAGGCACTGAAGCCGCCTCTTGTGCAACAGGTATTATTTATTGTTCACTGATACTTGATAGGACGAAGTGCGAATTCTAGATTCCACTGCTAGCTATCATGTAGACTACAATAAAATGAATATTCCCGCAGTTTCGAGGTACCCACTTAGGAAAGCAACAGATAATATAGCATTCATTCACTGTAGTCGGCTTTATTGTAAGATGAAGTGAGTCAAAGATTCCACTGCCAGAAAATTCATTCTGATAGACACCTGTGCCATTCGAATGTGTTTTAAATACCCATTGGATTTACCAGTTATAATGAGTCAATTTCATCGTCAGAGCTTTTCGTAACTTGTTGCTTAGCATTCTTCCTGTGCAACTAAAATCCCTTCATTGAATTCGTTCGTGCATTTTGCGCCCTCTAGAATTTATTCGTATTTTATACGAATACTTTATACTGAATTTCTGAAGACTTGTATTTGTCCTATATTGTTACCAACGAAACTAATAGAAAACTAACGAATACGATTTGAAAACATAAAAGTTGTTTCACACTATTCCAACTTTATTCTTTCTTAGAGTAGTAATTTGACATTAAATATCTTTTATACTCACTGTACTGCAACTTGATTTGTAATATAGTCCATTCAATATCGCGAGAGACAAATCAAGGACCCGACCAAAGTATACCAGCATAGGCAGGTGCAATAAAAATAACCTTTATTAAATAATTGAAGCTGTGAAGTCTATCTGACTCTGATATTTAGTGACAACATACACCAAACCGTCAAATTTAGTTCTAACTCTTGTACAAAGCCTCTTTTTTAAACAGAAAGTTGCTATTTTACCCAGCCTCTGTATATAAAAAAGTAAATCATGAAGTTAGATGACAGCAAATAAATGCCCATGAATTATTGACATTTTCTTGTTCAAAATTTATCAGTTAGTTTCAAGGTCTTATGGACGGATACCTTATTTTCAAGTTATCCCAAGATCTCTTATTTAAAAGATAGGATGAAAATGGTTTATTCATACAAAGTATTTTACTGCATAGTTGCTGTACTAATGATTTAAGCGAAAGATGTGAATTGCTTAAAATACTGAGATGTACCGTTATACAACTGAGTGCTCAGACAAATATGGTTTCAGGACATCTGATTATTCAGTTTAAATACTTAATCTATAGATAAATGATATGTCAGGAGCCAAATAGAGGAAAGTGGTCACTTGAACAATAGTCTTCAAACTTCAGCCTTGACAGTAGCTCATTTCCTCGATATTTGGGAAAGGTGGGAAAATAACAGAAGGTAAATTGTAACGTCAAAATACATACACACAAAATACAACGGTTTGAAGGAATTTACAGTAACTTTATTTTTAGGCCTTACTAGAAGGGTACTTCCCACTGATTAAGCCTTATCATCCAATCTGATACTTATACCTAGGTTCAAGGGCATAAATTATTGCCCATAATCATATCAATGTAACCACACAACTTTGGACATTTGATTTTTATAGTTACGTCAACTCTTATTCTTTGTTTTTATTGGTTGTAAAGTCTTCTTTATCTCTGGTATAGGTGTTGCGTCATTTCTGTTATGTGTTGGGTGTTGATTCGATGAACAAAGATTCAGTAGTCAATCTCTCTCAATATCCACCTGATTATGTTTGATCTAAGTACAGTGGTTTTATTCCAACCTATTGTGTAGTTGTGTGGTAATGCATGCATTGTAGTTGCCGACTGTTTTTCTAGATTATTGATCCTAATAAGTTCTATTATTCTATATTGAACTAAATTCTTATGTTTGGCTATTCTAACTGACCCCAACCGGCTAGTTTGACCTATGTACTTGACCTCACGGTCATTACATGGAATTTGATAGATTAGATTATTTTGCTCACTTGGTTCTATTGGATTCTTAAGTTGGCGAAGCCTATCTCTGAGTGAGTTTGTAGGTTTAAATACCATTCTGATTCCAGCTTTGTTGAGGATCCTACGTAAAGTTTCTGATGTGTCTTCCTTGTAGGGTAAGACAATGGAGACTATGGACTCCTATTTATTTGTGTTGTCGTTATTATTCGTACCCGTGTTACTGTTATTATTTCGTTTCTTGTGTGTTCGCACGAATTTATTGATAGTCTGTGGAGGACAATTATTAACTATTAGTGCTTCTTTTGCGTGTTTCAATTCCTTGCTTAGGTTCCTGCACTGACTAGTCATTTTTCTAGCTCTATCACTTAGACGTTCGACTAACCTGGCCTTAACTGATATTGGGTGGGATGACTTGAAGTCTAGATACCTGTTGGAATGTGTCAGTTATCTTTAGACGGTAGTATCTAAACAACCATCTGTCCTTGGTTTCATCTTGCAATCCCACATAGGTAATTCTACATGCTCATTTTCTATCTCATACGTGAATTGGATTGCGCCTACTACTTAGTTTATATGTGCGAGGAAATTGTTGATATGTTCCGATTTCAGCACAGTGAGTGTGTCATCCATACATCGCCATCATATTTTTGATATAGGACTAAACGTTTATAAAGTCATGTTTGCACAAGTGGTTGTGAAAACTTCAGGGATTCGCGGTTTCTTCCCAGGAACTTGGTAGTCTTCATGCATACATCATACTAAACTCGTATACATTCATACAACATATAAGGAGCTAACATAGGAGGATCAAGATCCACAGTACGCTTATGATTCGTAGAAACAACTAAAAACTATTTCATCTCCGGACAATTTTTGGCAGAAATAACGGAATTTGCACCACAGGTTAGTCTGGATTGCTACTTTATTGAACAAGCTTAATTCAAAGCCTTGGATGCCCACTCTAAGTCGAAGCAGACAGGGTCTGGTTAGATGATCCATTCCTAAGGAATTTTGAGTGCTTCATTAGATAAGTAATCTTCAAAATAATTTTAGCGTGTTTACAAAATCAAAAAATGATCCCTCTGCGTGGTTCAACTTATTTGACAGAATCAAAGTAAAATTCCTTTCAGGACTTATATACCAACTATGGGCCGAATATTTATTGAAATATAGTTAGTGCTATAAATAAAATGAAAAATTTTCAAGTAATTTACAAACGGCATGGTCCATGCTAACATTTCTAACTGCTGAGTAGTTTTCCAACTGCCCAAATATGGCATCAACAGGACTTCCTTTGCAGACCACTCAGCCGAGATCATAAGATGTGGTTTCTGTTACAAGTGTCATGAAATAGGGAAAGATGCTACCACTGAACAACTTGAGTGGTTATAAACCATAACTGAATGGTTCCCAGAGGAAATCCTGTTGACATCGCAGTTGGGCAGTTGGAAAACTACTCACTTGTGAGAAATACCAACGTGGACTGAGCAGTTTGTAAATCATTTGCAAATTGTTCATTCGATTTTAAGTATATCGGTCTATAAAGGTCAACTAGCCAGATTCATGTGATTTGAACTAATTCTGCTCTTTGAGTTGAATTTGTCCGGGTACAACGCTGATGAGCTTGATCCCAAACAAACGAAAAGGCTGTTCGCTGTTTAGACCACTTTGATCTAATTGGTGAAATGATGCAGATTAGGCTGTGGTTTCTAACTACTCAAGTTGTTCACTAGTAATATCTTTCTATAGTTAATGCCAGTTTGGACAAAATATTACTATATTGTAGACTTCGTAATGATCAGAACATTAAAAAGCAATATGAAGGATTTCGACACACCAAAAGCACATTGATTACAATTCTTGGTTTGTTGTGTCCCTGCAGATGAAACCAATAAAATATAGTGAAGGGAACTTATAGTAATGATGGATAGTGGTTGTCAGTGGAGTTCAGGATGCGCATTTCGTCCTATTTGGGACTCATTAGTTGGATGTACCTGCCTTCCAGCTGGTGATATTATTCCTACCAGGATTTGGACTCCATCATTACCATAATTAGAACCTCAGAGCGTTATTTACTGCACCACCGAGCCACGATAACCACTTTTTGCGCGACGGGTATAGTTTTAGTATTATTGCTTGTATTATACTGCCACTAACTGGGCAGAATTGATCGGTTTCTATTGGTATATGGTCTTCTGTGTGGTTACCCCGATATTACCTATGTTTTAATTATAATAATGACGAAGTTCGAATCCGGGTGGGAACAACACCACTCAATGGGACGTAGAAATACAGCCGATGAGTCCCAAACAGGACGAAACACGAATCC